GGTGGAGCAGGCCGCGGCGGGCCCTGAGGGGAGGCACGGGCGGGGGGGGAGCCGGCAAGTCCTCCTCGGAGCCTGCCCCGCGCTCCCGCCTCCGGCTTCCATCCACGCACGGGAGCTGCTGCGCTGGAAAACCAAGCACCTACCATTGAACTGGGCGAAGGGACAGCTCGGGGCTGAGGCACAGGGCGTGTGGGTGAGAGAGAGCAATAAAAGACACGTAGATGGGAGGAAATGGTGCTGGGTCTGGTCAGCAGAGTGCATTTGCCCTTCTAAATCCAGGCTGGAGTGTGGGCTTGTAATACATAACCTTTGTTACTTAGATGGGTCCGAGAGCTGCCTGTGATGAGACGAGACCCAGCGGTAGGTCAGCTTTGAGCAGGTTGTGACAGCTAAAGAGCCCGGCTAAAGCCGTGGGTTCAAATTACAAAACTGCTCGTTCCGAAAACAGGAGAGAGCAGAGGGGGAAAGAACGAGTAGCAAAACCATTGAGATATTTTCACAGCAGCTTTTCTCATTATTGTTCTTGTCCTCTGCATCTAATCACTCCAAACAAGTCTATTTACAGTCTTTTCTTTAGTTTCCTGTTGGGCCCTTTCCAACCATCATCCACCTTTCCATTCCACTGAACAGGGTGTTGCAGCTACAACACACACGGACTGGCGGGTGCTCCCTGTACCTTGGCACATGCACCATGGGTGACATCAACAGCCTGCGTGGTTCTCACACCTGTCCTGCAGTGCCTCGCACAGCGTGCCCTCCTCTCCTGCCCTGCATGACAGGCTTTCTGACTTGCTGCCTTGGGTGACCATTCACAAGGTCAGCCTTAACAAAGCTCCTTCATTCTCCTCTCCACTTGCACTTTTCCCGGTCACCTTCTCTGTCTTACTCAGGCTCAAAGGCATGGGGTCGGCGCTGCGCCCTCCCAGCCCTTCACACCGCGCACCCGTGCTGGTACAGGCTTGCAGACTCTGGTTCCTTCCCCGCCGGTCCCTTTCCATAGCCAGAATGTGAATCCATCCCCTGTTTGTACAGCTGCCGTACTTGGAGGCCTTAGTCACAGACAAAAAAGTGCTCTGGAAAGTCTTCTTCTTTGCAGCTGTCTGTATCAAAGCTCTGCTTGACAAAACAAGAAATAAATCTACATTTTCTGTCTTGCGGGTCCTGGCTCCTAAGAGACAAGATGCCTGCCTTATCCATGCAGTTTGTCAGTGCCAAAATAATGTGGCCTTTCAGTCAAATGAAACCAGTTTCATCTGGGAATTAAATCAGTCCTCTGTGTCCCATTGCAGCAAGCATATACTTTTCATATTTAGTTATTTTTTTTTTTTCCTGCTAAAATCAAGGAAATTTGAGCAAAACCCCAATACAATAAAAGCATTCAAACATTTGGCTGTAGCTGCGTCATCCTTATCAAGCAAGGGCACAAACAGTGACAGACAAATCAGTGTCTAAAAGATAAGCTGAAGAAGCTCTTGCTAGGTTCTGGTCTTAGTGATACCAGTAAAAATAAATCTAGCCTCTTTCTTCAGTTTTCCCCAGGATGTGCATTTTATCCATCTGAGAAATGCGCTGGATTATGCACATCTCGCAAATGAAGCACTAGATATCTTATCTGCTAGTACAAGCTAAGGAAAATTGGATCAAGAAATAGAAAATACGCTACTGGGAAATGAGTACGTGCTTGCTGATGGGAGCGGGGGGAAGGAAAATTGCTCCTTTCCACTGCAGAGCTGTCTCAGTTGTGTGTCTGTCTTTGTCAAAAGGCTCTGCTAGGCGGCTAGGCCGGCTTTGCAACGGAGAGCCAGTACCTAAAGCAGAAGCCTTAGGGGACCAGCTTCAGATCCCACACCAGTTAAACACTACAGATCTCTGCTCCCTTCAGTGCTGTTACACCCAGATCAATTAGGTATGAGGTTAGAAACTCCTTTTGAAGTCAAGTCCCTGATTTTCTTGTGTAAAGACATTGGGATATTGCTCTACCATTAGGAGCACAGCCTGGGGGAAGGCTGTTACTGAAGTTGTGACATAGCAGCGAGAGGTTAAGGATTTATTTTGGTTTCAAGCTTTCATTAATCCATTTCTTGTTACTGACTGTACCCGCATTGTACTTTGGTTAAATAAATCAAAGGGCATAAGGATCACCAGGGGTGAAGGGCTGAGCAGAGGAGGTGTCCTGGAGATGGTATAGATGTGGCTATGCAAGTAAAGCAGGTGGATGCCAAGGAGAGGATTTAGTGTCTGTCAGTGCTAGAGCTCGCGTTCGTTCGTAAGGTGAGGAGAACAGCCTGCCAAACAGAACCACCGGCGTGCTCAGGCGGGCGTGAGGGAGGACATGGAGCAGCAGTGGGATTAACTGTTAGGGAACACGATGTAGATTCAGGAGTACAATGAAAGGAAATGGAAAAAACTATAGGAGTTTGACAGTTTAAAAGTGACTTAAGGGAAAAAGGAATGGAAGATAATGGCCAAACTCTGTTAATGATAAAAAAATTGTAAAAAGCTTAACAGCAGTAAGAATTTTTATTTTGGCCTGGAAACATTTAGGAAGGAGAAAAAGACAGTTGTCATAGCTTTACTTGTTACATCCTGAAACTAGCTTTTCCAGGTTTCAGGAAAAGGAGGAGCTAGTTTCTCTTTAGCAGTGTATGTTCTGCTTCCCCAGAGTGAGCGTTCCCGAGTTAGTGCCGAGTGACTAACAGTGCCAGGGTTGCCTGTTTTTCAGGATAGTGGTGAATCACCCCAGAGCCAGAGGGACCAACCACAGGGCTGGCGTGACACGTAGCAGTGGATTGAAACTGTCATTAGCTTCATCTTGTGTTTCAGGCTATTACTTGCTTCAGTCAGCTGAGAGCACACACTGGGTTTGACTGAAAGTGCTTCTATTCAGAAAATCCCAGCTGGGGACAGGAGGATGGCCAGTTCGTTTCCAGGTACCACCACATCTCCCTCCAACAGCTTGGCCCTGCTTTCCTCTCTCTATAGTGACCAGACAGGAGAATCTAAAAAATAGCTCTGCCCCTTTTCTCTGAGGCTTCAGTGAAGATTACAGCTACTGCAATTGGAGGTGAGGTTCAAACAATGCCACAGACGCTTTAAGGCGATGTAACTCAGTACTATTCCCCCGATATTCATGATGCCATATCCATGTGCATCACCAAGGCTCTCACATCTGTTTGCTGAATCCAATTCTTATGGCATTTACAAATCTCCTCCAGATGTGAACACTTAATATATAAATATGCATCCATATAAATAAACATCCTTGTTTCAAACATGGAAAGGTAGAAGTGGCATTGTCAAAGCTTCCACATTAAGGCTTGGGGATCAGGAATGATGTATGCAACAGTAGGCAGGGGTATATTTGGATTTGTTTGCTACATCCAAAGGTAATGTACTTTCATTGTTAAAAGCTTTAACTCATGGGGTTAAATAGAGTCCCAAGCAAAGAGAAGAGAAAATGGCAAAGGACACACCAGTACTTTAAAGAGAACAACCCTAAACTCTAGTGGCTACAGACTGACAAGCAAAAGCCTGCGTATCTAGGACAACAAGGAAACTGCATACAAAGCGCCATTCAGGTGGAAATCAAACAAGGCAGGGGAACCACTCTCCACATTTAGGTGGCCTGCATGTCAGCGCTAGTAATAGGATTAATAGCTGGGGGGATTCTTTTGCAGGGCAGAACTTAAGCTGAGGCTGATGCTGACCCACTCCATGTTCAGTCTGTTCACCCCTACGGCTGCCACAGCTCTGGCTGTTGTCAGCTGTGTTGGTGGTTTCTGCAGTGTGCCCAATTCATATCCTAAAGGCCACTGAATGCTCACAGATGGGAATGACAAACTTGGCTGAGTTATGACAAACTTGATTTGTCATTGAATTAGTTATGTGAGGAGGAAAGAAAATAAAAATCCATAGATCTGAAGAGCATTAACATGCCAACAGTCCCCGGTGTCCTGGTAGCTGACTGAGAAGTCCTCTGAAGAAAACCCAGCATTATTGCTTTGGCTTTTGAGTCTCGTACACCGAAGTGATCTGCTGCACTATGCTTTTTGCCGACTTCCCCTCCCTCCCATTCTCACTGCAAGCTGGTGGGCAGTTTTGACCCTGCTGGCAGGAGCTCCCCTCAGTGGCTCTGGTCACCCTGTCCCTCTGTCACATTCCATGTTGCTGGCTGATACCGAGGTCCCTCCAGCACAGGTCCATAAAAAATTTCTCCGCAAAGAATCAGAACTCCAATTTCAGGCTGGATTTTAGCTTGGTTAAAGGCAGACACAGTGAGCAGAGACAGTGTGGAGCGTAGGGAATTTTGTCTTTTCTTCCTTTAGGGTAGGAAAGAAACTCAAACACTTCCTACTAGTACAGCTTGAAGGATGAACATACTGGATACTGAACATAAAAGCTGAGTACAGAGCTGCTGGAAACTCCTTTTGCCTGAGCCCACAGCATCCAAAGCCCAGGAGCTCATCCAAGTGCCAGGCTGTGAGCTGTGAACTAGATTGGCTCATCCTTCAGTGCTGTGTAACTCCCTGCTCTTCTCTCCCCATGGCCTTACTCTGCTGCCCAGATGCTACACTGACACCTAGAAGGGCGTTTTGAGGAGTCATGAGCAAGTCCACACAGGCAAGACACAGACGGAGGTGGCATGGGCTCAGATGGCTCCGATGGCTTGGGCTGGGAACCTCAGCCTCGACTGTAAATGTCAGCACCTTATCCAGGCTGATTTAGTGTTGTCATTTAGTTTCACATCAGGAGGTGATTTAGTTTCACTTCTAATACATAAAGAGAAGAAAAATGGGTTTATAGCTAAATTTTTAACAAAGCATATTTGAGAAAAACCTGAATGAACTGGTTGATACGAGCAGGTAGGCTGAAGAGTCCAAAGACAGAAATGTGGAAGACCCTCAGTTGCAGGTAGAAAGCAATCTACGGTTTGCATCCTAAGTAGGGAAAGAAAAGTGTTTAGTGAGTAACCAGCTGATTTAAAAAAAAAGTTTAAGAAATAATAAGGAGCTCATACAGAATGGAAAAGGAATAATGCAACAAGAGAAACCTCTGTTTGGCACTTTGTTATAGAATGGAGCAAGAGCTTTAGAAGTTAGGGGTAATTTACACATTGCAAAGAGTTTAAAACTTAGTAAGAAGCTTTCTAGTCACATAAAAAGAGAATCAAGAAAGAAGTGAGATACCAGGCAGCAATATGACTGCCAAACTAAAGATAGCTTAGATGCAAACCAATAAATGACAGGATGGTGATTGTTATGAGGCTTTTAAAAAAATTACCACATCTGAAGCAAAATCACAGTTCTAAGAACTCCCGGTGCTTTTGTCAAGGGAGGTGAAAGAAGAGACACAAACCAAGAGTTTATTAGTAAGGAATGTAAATATATCTAAGTGGGACAGGTACCACATGACTGGAAAATAGCAAGCAGTGCCTGTATTTGAGACGTGTAAAATAAAATGCAATGCAGCAAACTGAAGTTAGTTAGTTAGTCTGACCTCAATAACACACAAATCTTTCTATTATGTGCTTTGACAGAAAGAATAACTCAGGATGCAAATACACAATGTTGAAATATACAATGGGCTTAGCAAAACACTTCACTGCAGACTAACTTCACAGCTGTCTTCAGTAATTGGCTTCTGCAGAGAAGAGAATGTGCAGATGTAGTTTGTCTAGGCTTCAGCAAAGTATTTAATATGGTAATGCATGAGAAGTGATTAGGTGAGATGCAAACTGGAACTGTTACAGAGGAGATGACTGCACTGGATAAGAGAGGAAAACTGGGGGGCATTAACTGGGTACTGTTATTTTGAGACATACCAATGTGGTTCGGGGCTGCATGAGGGGAACACCCACCAAATCAGCAAGAGTTAATGCTGTCGCACAACACCCTGCTGAAGCTGGAACTGAAAGACTGTTTGCAGTTTAAAGAAGAGCTGAAAGCATGAACAGAACAGGGGAGAGCTGTTTGGCTGATTGAGGGGACAAAGAGCCCTCCCTCCTGGAGGATGCTGGGCTTGCTTAGCCTGGCTGTATGTAAATGGGGAAATAGGACTGGTTTACATCATGGAGTTTACCCTGGTGACTGAGTGAAAGAGGACGAGAAGGGAGCTGTTACTCAAACAGAACTAGTACATGAGCAATAACTGGACATGAGTGGCATAGCCTGGAGATTGAAAAGAATATCTTAACCTGAAGAGCAGCAAGTTTTTAAAATTGCATTGTGCCCACTCTCCAGATGAAGAGACAATAACAGAAAAATAACTTTATGTAGACTTAACTGCAGCAGAGATTATGTGATGTCGTTATATCTATTAACCACAGTGCCTTTCCATCCAAAGCTCTAGTATGAAGAGCAGAAAGTTTCCATTTCAGGAGCAGCAGCAGGAGCATAGTCTCAGTCAGTTGGAGCCAAGCTCCAGAATTTCCACAGATTTGTGGTGTCAGAAACGCTTCATCAGTTTGCAGTGATAAGGTTCTGTCCTGACTCGCTTGCATCTGTTCTTGCCCACATCATCACAGTGTCTTCACAACAAGCATTGCTTCTGTGTGGCCTAGATGTTATGGATTCATATTCTACTAAACCCAAGACACAGCTAGCTAGAGGATGACCACAAAGCCCCAAACAGGCACAGAACTGAGAGTTCTGAAATATTTGATTGACGTACTAACGGCAAAGCGGGAGCTGCAGAACAAATGCAAACCCTGAAGCACCATCTCATCCCCTGACCACTGAGAAACCCCAAACAAGGTAACAACATTACAGCATCATCTGGAATTTTGAAGACAATTCATGTTCTACTTGCCAGCAGAGAAGTGAGCTACAAGGTCTGTCACCAAGCTTTAAGGAAAGACAAGAACTAGCCAACATGTTTTCTGAAGACAGGAAGAAGCATCTTCCCAAGTGTGATAATGGCACAAGAGGTTTAATAACGGCACAGGAGGTTTCTCCTCAGGAACAAAGCCCATAAACCACACAGCTAAAGAGACGTGAGAAATGCCTATAAAGAAAGAGTAAGGATGAAGTCTGAAATGAGACTAAGGAACACAAAGAAGAACCAAGTCCTCCCTCTCCCAGCCAGCTGGTAGAGCCCAGCATGCCCTGCTGTGGGGAGGGCAGCCTGACACCCAGCAGCCCTGCCCCTCCTTGTCATGGCCAGAGGGAAGGATTCACACCTACAGCAGTCACTGATAGTCTTCATCTAAGAGAGAGAGGAGACCCACCTGCTACCCACTCATCCAAATCCTTATCACGGCAAAAAGTAGAGTAGTAACAGTGCTGCTGTTTAGACTCTTAATTACTCCAAGGCAGGAAGGTGTGTGTGTGTTGACTGTCCAATCAAAGCAATAAACCAACCACTCACCATGTGGATCAGTGTGAAGAAAGAGAGATAAGTAGCTGTCTTGACAAGAAGCTGCTCCTTCACTGAATCCTTTCTCCTTTACAGTTTCTGATGTGTAAGCGTGCCTGACATTGCATTTCACTCTTTTGAGTGTTGATACTAAAAGTCTAGTTGCTGTGACAAAAACCTCTAAGTGATCCTGAAGTTGTGGTTCATACCAAGCAGATTATCGCTAGTGACAAATACTGAAAGTCTTTGCTTTAAACATGGCCACGCTGGGCAGACTTTTGTGTTCTGATGTTAAGACTATGTTTCTGCCTGAAGGGAGAGTCCCTATAATAAACAGCTGAAAATATTTGTCTTTATATTTTAGTACCTCTGGCACCTATACTGAGAACCATTTGAGAGTTGAAAAATAGCTGTAGAGGTGTTATATGTGAGCTACTCTGTTTTTGTGGTATTAATAGAACAGATTCTGGCTCTAGTAACTCCACTCCTTTTGTGATTTCCTAAATCGTGTCGACTTAGGTTTTGGGCCCTTGGTTCTCAGCTGTCTCATAATAAAACGCTGCTTTCTTCTCCCTTTGCTTTGGTAACCTTGGTCCGCAGCTTCCCTTGATGAATCTTTTTGTGATTAGCCCAGCAGATCTGAAGATCTGTCCTTACTAATTACAGGTACTCTTTCCAAAGACAAGGAGCAGAATGCACCAATGATCACCACCTTCCTTAAAGCACAATGCTATTTATTTAGAACAAATGTTATGGAAAAAAACACTTGATAAGCCAAGAAATGATTCGCACACCTGCTAAGCGTTGCCTGTCTTCCTTGTGGTGCCCTGGCAAATATGATAAGCAAGTTCTGCCAGCTCTTTAATTCAGAGAGAGCATCTGTGTGTCAGATCAGGCTGTCTCTCTGCCCCAGAAGACAAAGCTGAGTGCCAGGATAACAGGCACGGAGGACTTGCGTGAGCGCGCGCAGGTTCCACAGAAACCCGCTCGTTCAGCCTGGAACACAAATGCATGAATAATGTGCTGCCCAGCGACCTGTCCAGACCACCCTTTCCATGCTGAGGACCAGCGGTCAGTTCTTGAGCATCTCTCCAAAGCTGGATATACTCCTGCCTGTAACCCGGGTGCCAGTCATGCTGCTCTGTGAAGTCAAGTGCCTGCCACCTTCTTGCATGTGGAGACAGCAAGAACTTGCATGGCTGGACAGCTGAGAGTACTCACAAGTCATCAGTAGCTGCTGGACTTTCTGTATGGCCAGTAATGGGCATTGTCCTCCTACGCTCAACCACATGTAAGATCAAAACACGAAAAGCATCTGCCTGGACAGAGCTGTTGCGTGTGTTGGCTGTGACCCGTCCTGGGAGGACCTGGTGCATTCCACGCTTTGCAACCTTTGTGGCAGTTCACTGTAGCAGCACTGGAAAGCTTGGTGTTATCACTTACGTCATGGGAATATCATTACTCTCAAATACTTAAAAACTATTAAAGATGATGAAGATAAAGTGATTTCAGCATTAAACCTCTTTCAGCTCAGTTTAGGAGATATGGTGCTTCCAAGCCCACTGGAATGAGAGGTCAGGAAGTGCAGCTGTAGCCCATGTGGGAACAGCATTTTTCTAATGAAATAAAATAGATTCCCTTTTAAGACAAGTCATGATTTCTGTGGTCTGTTATCAGACTAGCAATGGCTCTTGTCACAGCCTCTTTGAAGTCTGGCTTTGGCTTTGAAAAGAAAAACAGCCATACGTGTGTGTTACTGTCCTCTTTTTGGGGAGGGAAGGTTTCCTTTCCGTCCCGTATGAAAAACCCGTGCCGTGTGGCAGAATGGTTGTACTGTCCTGCACTCAGATGGAAACAGAAGGCTTGTTGAGGGCATATTGCACCAAGTCACAGGCTGTGGTGGTAACAGAAGGCAGGTGGGAGGAACACCAGCGGCCAGGCTTCAGGCACTTGACTGCCTGGCCAAGACTGCTTTTGTAGTGGCTGCAAAGAGAGAGGCTGATCAACAGGGTGAGTCAGAGCATTAGCATAAATTGGGGTGAATTCCCTGTGGCTGCACTGTGCAAGGGGGTGTGTTTTGGGGAAGCTGACTTCAGGCACGTACGAAGACCGGGAGACGCTGGGCTGCTTCACCTCGCCTGCTTGTGACTCATGGCACTGCCAGTGCAAAGAGCCTTGGCCTACGTGGCTGTACCAGCTGGGCTTACTGGGATCGCTGGCATTCCTACCCTAGCTTTGTCTCATTCCTGCACCTGGAGGCACCGACTTCACCTCCCTTCTCCAGGCAGAAACAAGAAGCCACTACTCGGAGGTGGTGTCCTTTCCTTCTGTTCCCTGGGCATAACGAGGCCTGGGCACATTTTGCCTGAAG